TGTGTATTGCAGCTCTATATACAATAGCCAAGAGCTGGAAACAGCTGAAATGTTCATCATCTGATGAGTGGATAAGGAAACTGTGGTACATCTACACAATGGAATTCTACTCTGCGATAAAAAAGAAAGATATACTACCATTCACAACAAAATTATATTAAGTGAAACAAGTCAGGGACAGAGAGAAATACCACATGTTCTCACTTATTTGTGGGAGCTAAATATTAACAAATGAATAAATACACAAACAAATAAAGGGTGGGGGGAAGAAGACAGAATAAGCACAAAAATTCCTTGAAGTATTTAGGCCAACTGCACAGATATGATGCGGGGGTTGGGGAGGAGAAAGGGTAAAGAGGAACAGATAAAGGGGCATGAAAATCAAATACAACGTATTCTGATAAGTAAAATTAAATTAAATTAAAAACAAACAAACAAACAAATAATAAAACATAAAAAGCCAAACCAGAGCAGCAGCCCCAGGCCCATGCTGACCCCTGCTGACCCAGGACCTGTTCCTGGGAATGGGCTGGGATACAGCAAGGTTGTTTTCTTCAACGACAGTTCCCAATGCTGCTCTGATGGGCCACCATCAGCCCATCTGGGCAGCCAGTCCCACCCGCCAAGGCCAACCCAAGGCAGGCAGGCCCAGGAGGGCCAGACCCCACAGACCCAGAGTTCTTAATAAATCGCCTTCCCTGCAGCCACAGTGCACCTGAGGCTGCACTTCCTGCCTCCCATCAGTGCTGCAGAGCTGCAGGCCAGGAGGGTGTGAGGACTCCCGGGCCCTGCAGTATCCAGCTCAAGTGGCCTGCTGGACCCACCACAGGCAGAGCTGGACAGTGAGCCACTGATGACGTTGGTGTGGCTCCCACACCTGCCATCTGAAGTTCTCCTACAGCAGGCAGACATGAGGAAGCAAGAAAAAAGACCTAATGAGGCATAGACCAGGTTAATCCACCCATATAAAAAGAGCACCTGAGGCCAGAAACCAGGACACATGACTCAATTTCAGCACTGTGTGCCTCTCACATGGCTCCCATCCAGTGTCTGCTCCTTGGTGTCTAAAATCTTTGCACATATCTGGCCTGGTG